TGTGAGCGTGGTGCCACAATCACTCGAAAGAGTAGTACAAATTCCTCGTCTAGCCGAGAATCTCTTATAGGCAGCGATGAATGCGTCTGCTGAATAATCGGTCACGAGTTCTAAATGTACGGCTGACGTGGAAAAACATACGAAGAGAGCTACATATGCTTTATAAGAACGGGCATTTTTTCCTTTCCAGGTTTTTATTATAAAAGGTCCAGCATAATCAATGCCTGAATGTGTAAAAGGACGAGAGGGAGTAACTCGTTCGGTAGGAAGCTGTCCCATCAACTGTTGAGCTCTCTTTTGTCAAAATCGTGTACATTTCATACATTTTAAAATCCATGAACGAACTGGGGCTCTACCTCCTATCAACCAGTATTCTTTGCGAATATAGGATAGCGTGACTTGAGTGCCACCATGCAGTGTTTGATTGTGAGCATGAGAGATAATGAGGGGGGTTAATGCTGACTCCTTTGGCAAAATCAGAGGGTGTTTTTCGGTTTCAAAAAGATGCGATTGTTGGAGACGACCTCCGACTCTCAATAAGCCGGACGCATCCAAAAAGGGCGTAAGACGTACGATATGACTTGATCGGGAGATCGGTTGTCCATTAGAGAGAGATTGAATTTCGTTTGAAAAGAACATTCGTTGCGTAGTCTTAACCCAAAAGTTCCTTGCTGTTTCTAACTCCTGAGTGGTAAGAGTAGGCATGAATGCCGACGGTGGAACCCTACGAAATCTGGATATGGCTCGTTGGCAGGTGGCGGTGATACGATACAATTTAGTTAAATTAGAGTATCTCGACAGAAGATCCCATTCCGATTTCGGTTTAATGACAACAGCATGTACCTTGATAGTGTGTTCTTCTAAATCCTTTTCCTGAGAATGGGGGGCAGGACGTTGCGGCCACATTGTAGTTGACTGTGACAGCCAAGTCGGACCGTTCCACCAACAAGTATCATTTAATAGTTGAGAGGGGATGAGCCCTCTGGTAGCTGCATCTGCAGGGTTTTCGTGACCAGGAACAAATTTCCATTCAGCTTGTGGTAAACTCTCTTGGATAAAACTAACGCGATTATAAACAAACTCCTTCCACCTGGAGGGATGATTATTTAACCATGTATAAGTGATCAATGAGTCGGTCCACATTACGATCGGTTGATTCTTTAAATCCAGTACAGTGAGAAGATGGAAAACTAGTTTGGTCAGCAAAACTGCTCCACACAGTTCAAGTCTTGGAATCGTAAGGCGTTTCAAAGGTGCAACTTTTGTTTTAGAGGCTACGAAATTTACACTGATACTCCCTTCAGGTGTGGTAATTCGAACATAAACAACCGCAGCCATTGCTTTTTTTGAGGCGTCAGAGAATCCATGTACTTCGATGCGATTCTCGCCTGAAAAGCCTATCCACCGAGGGATCGTAATCTGGGGGGTATCTTGAAGATTTTTTATAAAATTATGCCATCTACTTGTGAAATGACAAGGTAATGGATCGTCCCAACCTAGTTTTATTGCCCACAACTCTTGGATAAGGATTTTCGCGATGATAATAATTGGTGATAAGAAACCAAGGGGGTCAAAGAACTTAGCAAGAGTTGAGAGTGCCTTTCTTTTAGTAATCTCCCCCTCATTTTGACAAATAAACGTAAATTGAAATACGTCGTCTATTGGTTGCCACTGAAGTCCGAGAGCTTGAACAATAGGATTATTGTCTCTGTCAATAGATACTGACGGAATCTGATCCTCCTTAGGAATTGAGCTGAGTATTTCTGGATGGTTAGTTGACCATTTTCGCAACTTAAAACCGCCAGCCATACAGAGCTTTTTTAGTTCGTTAACGACATCCTTGGTTGTCTCTAAGTTGTCTGCTCCTCCGAAGAGGTCATCTACATATCTTCCCTTCTGTAAGCAAGGTGAAGCTAATGGGAAACGTGAACCTTCATCCTTTATTAATTGCTGAATAGTGCGTAAAGCTAAGAAAGGAGCACAAGCTAACCCATATGTAACTGTTGTCAAATGATAGGAACGTAATTTAAATGAGCTGTCAGTCCACAGGATTCTTTGAAACTTCCAATCATCTTGATGAACATTAATTTGACGGTACATTTTCTCCATGTCAGATGAAAAAACATATTTGAATTGACGAAACCAGATCAGGACATCAAATAATTCTACTTGCAATTTAGCTCCGGTGTGTAACAAGTCATTTAATGAAAAACCGGAAGTAGTGGGGCTTGAACCATTGAAAACGACGCGTAATTTTGTTGTAAGGCTTTGTTCTCGTTTGACTCCGTGATGTGGAAGATAAAATGCGTGACGCGGTTCGGGAAGGTGATCAGGAACAAGTTCCATATGATTAAGTCGTTCATACTCTTCCATAAAGTCGGAATATAATTTTGCATACTCAGAATTAATTGAGAGTTTATTTGATAATCTAAGCATCATTTGAGTGGCCTTTTTTCGCGAGTCTCCAAGATGGGTGGCAGGCTTCTTAAAGGGGAGCCTTACTATGTATCGACCATCTTCGCTACGCGTATGAGTATTAAGAAAATGTTCTTCACATTCTTGTTCTTCAGATGAAAGAACGGAAGCCTTCAATGGAGCGACTTCGTCAAGCTCCCAAAATCTATGAATTAAACGGTAGAGTTCATTGTCAATTGACACATGGAAACTATGAGTACTAGTCGACGATATTTCAGAGTCAGTCGGACCAGAGATGATCCAACCGAGTTCAGTTAATTGAGCAATTGGAGATCTCAGAGGTCCTTTTATTATGCTTTCGCGTATTATTTGACCGTAATAATCGGCGCCAAGAAGGATATCGATTGGATTCGATGAAAAATACTCAGGATCTGCAAGTTGTAACCCTTCTAAATGGGGCCATGAATTTTCTTTTACTGAGATAGATAGTATGGATGATGTCAGTTTCGGGAGAATATGAGCAAAAACTGAGCATTTAAAGGATGAGTCAAAAAATGGCTTTATTTGAAAAGAAGTCATACCCCTTGTTTTATTTGATCTTTGACCGCCTATTCCAAAAAGGGGGATCTGAGACTTAGTACGGGATAACCGTAAACGTTGTACTAACCGCTCCGTTATTAAAGAGATTTCTGATCCTTGATCAATTAAGATCCTTGCTTTGGAAGATTGTCCCGTTTGCGACTTAACTATAACAAGGGCCGTTGCCAACAGAACGCAGTGGGTATTACACTTTTCTTGTCACATGGAATGAAGAACCTGAGAACCGCCTTTTAATTCCGAATTAGTATTAGAATCAACCTCAGTAGATTTTTCTGACTTTCCTGTGGATTCAGTTTTTAAATAAGTAACCTTAGATTTTGCGGCGTCAAAATTTCCACGATGAAGTGTTACATGATGCTTTCCAGCACATTTTTTACAATGAACTGACATTCGACAATGAGCCACTCTGTGAGGACCAAGACAATTATAGCATAAGTGATGTTTTCGCACAAGAGCAACTCGTTGTTGGACCGGTTTTGATTTGTATTGTGGGCAATGGTATGGCCAATGAGGCTCCGAACAGAAAGGACAAGATTTTGAGCTCTCATCTTGGAATTTACCTTGAAAATGAGATTTTAAAGGAAATTGAGTCGTTTGTAAAAGCTTACCTGATCGAGCTTTTTCGTAGTTTTGCAGTGTCACTAATCGAGTGATAAAAAACTCAAGAAATTATTTCCATGTAGGAAGTTCCCGTGAGGAGCCAATATTAGAGATCCTATATGGAGAGATGGGCCAATGCCGACTGATCCGTGATTGGCTCTGCCATGATGTTGTGAAACCGGATGTGAGAGTGAAAGAAGCGAATGTGAGAGTGAGAGGAGCGTCGTCTGCTTATGATTATAAGAAGTACTGTCAGAGACAAAAATTAACTTAGACGAGTCTCTTTTACAGTAAGTAAGTTTAAAATCATCAAAAATGTATCACTAGAACTTTTGGAAAAAATATATATATATAAATATATATAAAAATTCATTTATAAATACATACATACATTTTATATGTAAATTAACCTAAAATTGTTTTTTTTTTTCATTCTGGCAATTGACTTTTTGCCAACAATCTGCACAAACTCGAGATCGTATGATTTATTAAATCTTGTTAACTCACATTAAATATGAGGTTAGAAATCTGTGTTATTATGCGATAAGTTTTCACCAAATAAATAAGTAGTAAAGTCATTGTTTAAATATAAAATATTCATATCACTTCAGATTTCGTATCACTGTGTGTAAATGGAAAGCAACTTTTTTATTCGAATTTAATACGTTTTGCACGTTTTTGTCTATTTTGTCTGTTTTATCCACAATTCTATATTTACGAAAAATAAACTTTCTCTAATAATTATTCATTACAACTTTGAGTTAACAAAGTTATAATAAACAAGTAGTGTTACGTGATGTTTCGAAATTGGCGTTGATATATTAGCGCGCATTTCCAAGATCATGTGATTTCCGGTTTCACAACATCATGCCGGACATTGGCCCATCTCTCCATATAGGATCTCTAGCCAATATGCTGCTCCCAAGCCTTTACAGACTCTGAATCTAGCCGTTGAATGACAGTAAAAATTAGAAAGTCGTCTCAAGAATCCACTGGTCTGCCAAGAGTTTCCAGTGATCTATATATTTGTGTAACAGTAGTATAAAGTTTTTCTAGGTCCGCAGCAGACTCTTTCATGATGCGTTTCAGATTGAATAGGGAACCTAAAGCTGCGTTAACTAAAAGTCTTTTATTTTCATAAAATGAAGTTAGCGAATCCCATGCTTTTGAGAAATTATCGGCAGTGAGAGCAGTATTACTTAACATATGACTGGCAGTACCTGTGAGGCTAATTTTCAGATATTGTAGTTTTTCAACTGGAGATAACGTTGGATTATCTATCACAATGGAACGGAATAGATCTTTGAATGGCAGCCAGTCTGAAGGTGATCCATTAAATTTAGGAATTTCTAGTCTTGGGAGTCTAGAGTGATGAAAAACGGTAGGTAGACCAGCTGATGACCCAGTCGTAGTTGAAACCGGCAAAGATGACGACCCTGACGACGTCCCCGGAACGCTACCGCGATCCGACTGTAACTCTAGCAGTGAATTCATTTTTTCTGAAAATTCTAAATAATACTCGTTAGTTGTTGAGAAATAATTCTCCGCAAAATATGAATGGTTGCGAATAATTAATTTATCAGCTTCATCTAATTCTCGAATAGCTAACATAATAGCATCATGTGTCACACTAAATTTCTTCCAATTCTCTTCAAGAGCAGTGAGACGCAAATTAATTCTTGAAGAAGTCACGTGCTCAATTCCATTTTTGATTAAATTGTTATAAGAATGAGCCATAAGAGACGACAGGCTGACCTGCTGCTCAATATGGTGCTCTATATGATTTAACCTCATTGTTATTCCGTGAGAAGTACGCTGCTTACGACAAGATCTATCCGGCTCGAAGGACCAAAAATGTTCGATAGCGTGAAAGATAATGTAAAGTTCGTAAAAATAAGATGAATGAAATTAAAGAGAACTTTCTTTATTAAACAATAACAACTTTATATTATAGATATAAATTACATGTATGTATTAAGAATATTAAGATTAATCAATTTAATTTTAAGCAAAATAACAATATTAGATTTGACTAAAGGAAAACGAATTTAACAAATAGAATCGCGATCTCATCGTAAGCAGTTTACCTGAGAATTCTTAAATAGAATTGTCACTTATCGGAAAAAGAGTATATTCCCAGATCTTTCGATTCGTAAAAAGGAAGACGATCATCGGCTGTGATGTGATATGCTTAATAAATTCAGCAACCATACTTGAATTCTTCGTCCTTCTTTAAAATTCTTTCCATAGGTTTGGTAACATCGGGAGTTATTCACGTCCTGTCCGAATTACTTAAAGGAGAATTAAGTTATCTAACGCAAAGAAATTAGGCTAATAGCCTCACTCGGGCTTCGGAATGATTTAATACGTAAGCTGTTAGCTTCACGTGGATTCAAACCACAAAAAATAGGCTAAAAGCCTCAATCGAGCTATTAGCTCCTTTTTCACCTCTCTACCAGTCGTATTCTTACTTAAAGGAATTATTTTGCTACGGATTTAATGTTTCACGAACAGGCCTGTTTTTCTACGATCCGAGAAAATTAATAACAACCGACACATAGCAACCAAGACAATTGTTTTTTTTGTAACCAAGCGCGCTCATTGCAGCGCTGCATACGGTCGTTTTTTCTATTAGCCGGCCAACTCTTGGTCAACAGTAGCAATGTTACCAACGAGTGGCAGCTTCCTTTTTAAACA